ATTAATCTAAAAAAAAGGCGAAAAAATAATCAACCCATTAATTGATTATTAAAACAGTGCCTTTTGCCTTCAGTGTGAATAGTTTTCTTCTGATACAAAAGCAAAGATAGATTTAGCCTCTTTCTGCTTGTCAATAATTATCCAATAAGCTGCAGGATCCTGCTTCCTTTCAGAGGCTTTCCAATTATTTTACACCCTGAGAAATCTGCAGACTGTGGAGCTGCTTGTCCGTCCGAAACACAAACACTCACTGRAAACAGGTCATTTCATTAATGCCTCGACTAGCAGGAGGAGCTAGTATTTCCCACCCTCAGAGCACAAAGCTTCATCTGACTTGTACCACCCTGCAGGATGGAAAAGAGCGCCGACATGGCTGAGTCGAACACACACACACACGTCAACCTCTCTGTGTGTGTGAGTGTGTCTGAGCCGAGGCAAATCAATGAGAGGAATTTCCTCTGCAGCTGAGGGGGGTTTGAGGTGAAAAGTAGAAGAGCAGCGAACGAATGAGAGGAGAACTCACGTGCCGTCCTCGTTGCTCCGGTAGAAGACCAGGAAGGGATCCGATTTGCCAAAGAAATCTTTTTTGTCCAACTTGTTTCCACACAACTGCATCATCACTGATTCCTAACGACAAGAGAAACAGACATTCAACATACGTAATTACGAAAAGTTTAAAAAAAATTTTTTTTACCTTTTTTGACCAAACAATGCAGATATACAATACATTATGTGAACATCTTATGTTAAAAACATTATGCAAAAAAATTTAAACTTATCAAAAACAGACATGACGTCTAATGCTGCGTTCACACTGAACGCAATCTGAGCGTCAAAAACTCGTCCAACGCCTCAAGTTGGACACTTGTGCACTTTGAGGTCTTCCAGCGAGAAAATTGCTCATTTTAGCTATTGGTTTCCCACTAGCTTTTTCATACTTTTAGCTAGCATTTTGCTACTTCTAGCTTCCCTTTTGACACTTTTAACATTCATCAAACATTTACCTTAAGTTTTGTTCGTGTTCTGTCTAACAGATCAGCTTCAGCTACTTTAGCTAATTTTATTTCAGCGTTAACACCTGTTCTCTAGTTTTTTCTGTATTCCTGGTTTTTAGTAACTTTTGTCATTTCTTCTTAGCTGATACAGCAGCTGTTGAAAACCTTGACTTTAATTTTCTGTGATTTCTCTTAGTGACAGACTCAAGTTTTTTTTACTCAGTGATATATTTAATTATTTCAAGAGCAGATACAGAGAAGATGAAACGCACAGAATTATCATAAACCTTTGGTTCAAACTCACCCTGCAGTTGCTCAGCTCCTCAGCTTTCACAATAATGGTCCCACATTTCTTCCCTGAAATGCCTCTATGGACAAGAGAAAAGACAACTGGTCAGTACAGGTACAGTATGATTTATGGTACAATACAGTATTGTATATGGTACGACATGATTTATGGTATGGTAAAATGTATGGTATAATGATGGTGTATGATGTATGGTACGTTACGGAATATGGTATGGTACTATTTATTCTATGGTATGGTATAAAAGATAGAAAAAAAAACAGAAAAACGTATCCATTTCATTTGATACTATTTGATGGTACTGCATAGTATTGTACAGTATGGAATATGGTAAAATACTATATATAATATAGTATGATGCGATGTATAGTACAATATGGTACGGTGTATCGTATTGTATGGTATATGGTACGGTACGAAATATAGAATATGGTACGACACTATTTATATTGTATGGTACAGTATGGTAGGGGTTAGTACATCAGTTTCAGCTACACCACAACCAGGTCAGTTGGCTCTGGCAGCCATCTTGAATTAGGTTGACTATAAAAGCTGCTCATATGCCTTTGTCTTTTGGCAGCAGGGTTTTACTAAACCACTCGTTAATATTCTTCCTGATAATTTACACTCATATTTACAACAACAAAATAAAAAAATAACAATAAAAAGCCTCAAACAAGGAAACAACTGTCTAAAAAGTTGACGTTGCTGACCAAATCTCATGGAAAGTTTTACTTCTTCACACCCTGCCTCCTGAACTTGTTCAACGGCTGCAGTCCTGAGCAAAAAACAAAGCTGTTTCTGTCTGGATGTGTGTGTGCGTTCATTAAAAAAGGGCGGGCGTGTATAAAAGCTCTGAAGTTTGTGGAAAAGGTGGGTTTATGCTGTGTGTGTAAACACTTGCTCTGAAAAAAAAAAAGTCATTACTGTAAATCAAAGCAACAAACGTCTATTACAGCATCTCCTTCCTTCTTACACATAATATCCTTCAAATCGAACTTTTAGTTCCAGGCACAAATCTTTATTAACATATGAATCTTAATTTAGRATGCATTTTGAACTCTTGTCCCAATCCTCAGCCAAGCATAAGCAGATAAATAGACTATCCATGTGTGAAAGGCAGAGCAAGATCGCATAATTCGAGTGAACCTTTGAGATCTCCAACTATCTGACTGTGTGATAAGATCTGCCCCCAGACATCAATCTGGCAGAAATCGACTCAGGCAGTCATTTAAAAAACCCAGAATGGGGGTCGAGGACCTCTGCGTCAATGTGATTCAAAATCTTCTTTTACTCCAGAACAAGAAACAGAGAGGAACAAGCTTTGGAAAACGGCAGATTTATCAGAATGAAATGGATCCTGGAGCCAACAAGCTGACGTCTTTCTTTTCTGCAAACTTGCAAAAGCAAATGAGCTTTTTCTCAGAAGCATGACGATGGGAGAAAAGCTAAAAAAAAATGAAAAATGAAAAATTGCATGCGGCGCAGGGAGAAAAGATTTCCTTCTTCTCCTCTCGTTCTTATTATTTCCAGACAAAGCGAGGAGCTGAGGTCATGTAATTCATATGCATTATGTGTGCAAAGTGAATGAAAGATATTCAGGGTGAAGACATAATCAGGTGGAGAAAATACCAGACAGAATGATATGTTAGAAAGGCAGACGTTCCTCACCAACAGCAGGAAGAAAAAAAAACACTTTCTGTTCAAATTGTGGTAAATTTCTTGATTATAACGTGACTCATGATGTAGGGTGTACGTTGGAAAAAATAACAATAAACTTTTTTTCTTTTATTCTTAGCACCAGGCTGACCAAGCCATTATTAATCTCTGCACGATGATTTATGAAGCGTTTGGGACAAAAAATATCTAATTAGACAGCATTGACAGACTTCCTCGTAGATTTTAATGATGCCGAGCTAAAAGCAGCGGGCACACAAACAATATCAGACATTTTGGGATCTTCGTAAAGTTACTGTTACAGCAAATATTTCATTTATTGTTCATGAAGTTAGATAAGAGCGGCAGCTTTCCATAGATTATTAACTAACCCTGTTAAATTATTTACGCATCCAGATGGCGGACTGCAGTTACAGATGTGCTGGAAAGAGCGAAAACATCCAGACATGACTTTAAACAGAGAATAGAGTGCTGCGAAGGCATCAAAGAAATCCCAACCAATGACTTAAAGCTTTTCCAAAGACTGTACTAGATGTCGACCGATACATTGGCCGGATGATATTTTTGGCCAATATTTGTTTTTTTCTTGTATCTCGTGCAACATTTGTTATCATTGTGTCTTTTTTTATTATGTAAATGGAGGAAGAAAAGGCAATATCAGCATCAAGAATTGGCCCAAAAAAAATCGGCAGCACGTATCGGGGATATTGGGGAAATAATCGCCCTTAAAAAACCTGTAACGGTCTATCTCTAGACTGTACGACTTATTACCAAACGTAACTCAGAGATTAATAACTTATTTATCTACAACAGGGATGGGCAACCAAACTTTTGATTTATTTTGTACCTTTTTTAAGTAGCTTTTACTTTTACAAGAGGACTCTCTAAGAGCTGCTTTGAGTGGTTTTTCTTTAAGTAAACAAAAAAGTCCAACAAAAAGTTTATTTGGGGGTGGTGGGGGGTTAGACTATTTCACAAACAGGGTCTCTGCGGTTCATATTGATCTGTGAGCAGAGTTGGCCCTAACCGTGATTGGCGGAGGTCTCGGTGTGGGAGGAGTGGGCCCTAATCGTGATTGGCAGAGATCTTAGTATGGGTGAAGTTGGCCCTAATCGTGATTGGCGGTGGTCTCAGTGAGGCCGGAGTTGGCCCTAATCATGATTGGCAGAGGTCTTGGTGTGGGCGGAGTTGGCCCTAACTGTGATCAAGTAAGGGTCTCTGCTGACGAGTGGGCGTGTCACAACGAAAAGCGATTCTAAAGTGACACACCTGATTTGACGGACTTTTTTAAAGGGACACACCTGACTGGACAAGCAAAAAAGGGGCGCTACTGTACGGCACCACTTTTTCTGGAGAACCCAACTTGGGTCACATTTCTTCTGGTTAACCTTAGTGTTGGGGCCAGGGTTAGGCTGTATAGAAGTCAAGCAGGGTCTAAGGATACCGTCATGTAGGCCTCGTAGCCCACTGTGTTTATGGTTTAGACACGCCCACTCTTGCGACACGCCCACTTTGATTCCGCAGATAACCCCTTCTCACTGTGATGGGCGGAGGTCTCGATGTGGGCGGAGTTGGCCCTAACAGTAATTGGCAGAGGTCTCGTGTGGCCGGAGTTGGCCCTAACCGTGATTGGCTGAGATCTTGTGTGGGCGGAGTTGGCCCTAACAGTGATTGGCGGAGGTCTTGATGTGAGCGGATTTGGCCCTAACCATGATTGGTGGAGGTCTTGACGTGGGCGGAGTTGGCCCTTTCCTGGTTCGACCAAGCTACTCCCAGCTGCCCGCAGCTTCTTCAAACCCCATGGTCAATCCAACCAATCACATCTTGGGTAAACTACGCCTACGAAATAAGAAACTCCTACTTAGTGACTGCAGAGACCCCCCTTCTCGAATTTCAAGGCAAACCAATGTGTTTAGTCTGCCTCGAGATGAARTCTGCCATGAAGGATTTTAATATTAATTGCTTCTTAATGAGCAAACACAAAGCCAAAATTATATCAATCTAAAAATACAGGAATAAAACGTTCTTTAGACACCTCTAAACCAGGCGTGTCCTATCCTGGTGTTTGAGAAACAATATCCATCATCAAAAAGAAAAAAATTGTGTAGGTCTTCTGGACGGGTTCTTCTCTAATGAAACGTTTCGTCTCTTCTCCAAGAGACTTCTTCAGTCTGAGAGTTTCAGGCAAAATTCAGGTTTTTAAGCCCAGCCTCCGTGTGATATGTCCATCATATTTGACTTGTTTCCCTGCTTTAATGACTGAATTACCTCTTCCAGTTCTACAAAAACCTGCTAATCACAGATTCCATCAAATCAGGTGTGTTGGAGCAGGGAAACTTTCTAAAACATGCAGGATAGTGGTTCTCCAGGACCAGGATTGGACTCCTCTGCTCTCATATTACAATAAGTCTGATAAAGCAGCTAAGGTTGTATTTGACATCCATTCAAACCAAACAAGTTACTTAATATGAACCCTTCAGGGTAAAGAGCACACACTAGCTTAAAGACTATAGCTCTAAAAAAAACCTCCACCTTCTTAGCTTTCATAATGTCACGGAGGGGAAAAACTGCACAAGAAGCACACCATGTTTGACAAACCCCCTGGAATCCAAGTCGCTATGACAACTCAGATGAACAAGAGGCTTGGCGGCGGGATATCGAATGGGATTCCTCTGCTTGTTATTTTCTCAAAAAGCTCTCTGTCGCTGCCTTTATTTCTCTCAGACATTAGAGGTCTTTACCCCGGCTGATAGATCTGTCTTGAATCGAAATGTAGGCGGCAGTCAAAGCATGGATGAATACAGAATCTGACTATTCTGCCTTGTTTAGATGCCATTTTTGTGTTTGCCAAGTTCACTTTGGCCACGTTAATTAGTTGGAGACATCAATCCACTGATGCCGTTTGGTAATAAAAGTAGAGAATTTAAAAAAAAAGGAAACACTTAGAAGTTGAGATGTTCTTTAGTAAAATGTCTTCTTTTGCGCATCGTGACAGTGTGTGTGTGTGTGTGTGCATGTGTGTATCCGCTAATCAAGAGGCATGGATTTGCAATCAGTATCTGGCGAGAGATGGCTAATTAAGTCTGGGCCACGTCTGGGCTCCGGCGTAACGCTCACGCATGTCATTTTCATTAGATTTCCAACGAAAAGCAGTGGATCTGAATGAGACATCGGTTGTCATTTTAATAAACGCCAGGAGCCGGCTATTCTCGGTCATGCCCCGACACACAAAGTCGCACACACTTCTTTCTTTTTCTTTTTTCTAAAGAAGGCAAACTGTAATTCTCTCTTCACAAAAGAAACACTGACATAAAATCCATGTCACAGCAGAGGCAGGCAGAAACACTCTTTGTACTTGTTTTACAAATGCTTACAATCAGGCCC